GATGACTAGTTTGTTTATGTTTCAGTTTTATAGGTAGTTGCTTTAGTTGCTTGCCACGTGCAAGAGTCATAGGAGTTAGTGTCAATTCCTACATTTTCTATAATAATTTTTTTTACTTAGGTCTATTCCTGCATTTTCTGAGATCTTTTCTTATACTTGGCTTTGTATAAATCTTGGCAAGCTACTTTTCCTACAGGAAGCGCTGCCGTAATTTCTACAAATCCAAGAAGTTAGCCAACTTTTTACTTGTCAGAGTTCAACTTGTCTTTTTCATATATCTGGCTTAGTTAAAATCTGGTAAGTCTCCCTTTCTAAAGCGAGTGCTGCCCAAATTTTTGCTAATTCAGGGAGTTAGATAAAAATTGAATTGTGGGAAGCCAAAGTTACTTTCAAAATCTGAACTTAGCCTTGTATAAATTTTGGAATAGCACTTTTCTAGAGGGAGTGCTGACGAAATTTCTACAAAATAAAGGAGTCAGTTAAGTTCAGTCTAAAATTGAGCTCAAGATGTTGTTCGAGTTCATATCTGACTTAGTATAAATCTGGGAAGTCTCTCTTTCTAAAGGAGGTGCTGCCCAAATATCTACTAATTCAGAGAGTTAGACAAAATTTGACTCTCCATAGTTAAAGATTATTTCTGCTTTTATATATGACCTAGTATAAATCTGGGAAGTCTCTCTTTCTAAAAGGAGTGCTGCCAAAATTTCTACTAATTCAGAGAGTTAGACAAAATTTGACTTTCCAGAGTTAGCGATTATTTTTCCGTTCATATTTGAGCTTATATAAATTCTAGAAAGACACTTCTCCTACGGAAAGCGATGCCAAAATTTTTCTAGTTTAGAGGAGATAGACTGTATTTTGACAGGTATCGATTCAGGCGACCTGCCCAGAGTAAACGAGATTGCGTAGTTGATCTACCTTTAGCTTAAGCATTGGCTTAAAAGTAGACTTAAGTTTAGCTTATAGGGAGATTTTGAGTAAGGATGTATTATGTAGTTGTATTCTCCATACACTCATGATCTTAGCTTGGGGATTGGTCTGCCGTGTGTTACAGGTATTTTTTGATCATTTGATTCAAGTTCAGGGCTAGACCCAGCTTGATCCCTTGAGGATCACTTTCTGTTATCACTGATAACAGGTCAGTTGCCGATTCGTCGGTTTACGACTCAATTTCAACTCACCCTCCACACTCAACCTAAAAAACTTTAACCCTGGTGAATTTTATTGTTTCATTATGGTTTCACCCGAATTTTTATTGAATGACCATTTAACAAAGGTACTGAGTATTTAATTAAGGTTGGTTGGACAGGAGGTTTGAGGCTTGCATGGCTAAAGCGAGGGGTATGAGTGTCGAAGATGGTTGGGGTTAACTCCGTGTAGCGCGTGGGCTGTTGATTTGGTTCGTTGATGTGATTGCAGGTATATGCTGTGAATCGGATTCTGGATTTGGTTGCCCACGATCACATATATACGTATTATTGTGAGAGACCCCAGTGAGAGCGTGAGAAGTGATCATCACATACTTAACCCTTATGTATGTATACATGGGTATACTTGGGATGAATGTTTGCATGGGTTGAAGAGCCTCCACACTAAAATCCTACTCAGAAGCTGAGACTGAGGGGCTTAGGGGAGGCCTCTCCTTCTATTTTTGTTCTTGCTTTTTGATAATTTTTCTTAGTCGGACGTTTGGTCCTGCGCCGGGATTCGAGGTTCTTGTCCAGGATACCCCAAGCCCTAGGCTTTGTAGGGGAGGGGTTTTCCCTCGCGCAGAGTCTATTTGATTTGCCTACCGAGACACTGAGGCCGAGAGCCGGAGGTGCCATGGCGGTTGCACGGCTATTCCTTCAGTCGTGCAATGTCGTGAAGGGTTAGGCCCTCACGACACTTTGAGTCTGACACTTGAGTGTCATAAGTGGTACTCGGATCCACGAGAGACCGCTTGATTATGGGCACTACATAGTACGCCATCATTGCGATTGTTTGCGTACGCTTGCATTGCGAGTCGATATGAGTAAGCCCTGCGTCCGCACGGTTTTATCCTACGTCTCGCGCGCGACGCCTGTTCGATTTCACGTCGGAAAGTTATGGGACGGCTACCGAGGGGCTAGGAGCGTTGTCGCGTTGTTGTGATGTGTCATTTCGTACGTGTGCGTGTGTATGTTTTATTTTTGTGTTCGTAAAGTGGTGTGCGCGTGGTGTGTGGGATGCGTCATAATCGACCGACGACGGACCTCACTTGGAACTTCAGCCCCCCACGATGTCGGTTCACGTGCGGGTTCGATAGAGGCGTATTACCGCATGTACCCCCTATGCTACAGCGAACGAGAAACGCCCTCGGCCGGTCCACCTCTGCGATTGCAGCTGATTAGCTTTCGTACTGTGGACTGGTAGCTCGGCGGGGATATGCCCACCAAAGGGAGGTGTTTACTCCTGTAAGGTGTAGGTAAGGCGTGCCTCGCGTAGGCCCTAGCGCACTCGGCCAGAGTGGCTTAAGGAAGCTCCACATGTATTGTCTGCGACGAAGGATTTAAACCAACTCCTGCGTGACGCGGCCGGGAGGGTTCCACGCTGCCCTGGTGCGGTGCCGGACCGATGCGCTCGACAGGTGGCGCCGTTGCCAGGGATAAAGGAAAGCCTACCGTTGTCCCTGGTGGAACGACATCCGGGTATGAGAGGTGAGTGAGAAAAGGTATAAAGGAAGGACGAGAAACTGAGGAAAGATAATGAATGACTAAGTATAGGTGAGGAAATTTACCTACCAGAGTAATAGTGGGTTATACAGATGAATTGGGTTACCTGGTGGTTCCCTGCCTCCATAATTCCTCCCGAGTTTCGGCAGAGCTCCCGCAATCGGTGGGTGGACTCCCCACAGAGTCTTGATGCGGACCTATGGGTTACAATCCCGCCTGCCGCCTTTCCCTCGTAACCAAGGACTAGACTTAGACTGAGAAGGGCAGATAGAGAAGATTCAGAGACTCTCAGATATAAGGTTGGTGCGCTCAGACTCGTTGGAGAGAATTTAGATTCCTTGATGCGCCTGAGGGCCCCGCAATGGTGGCCTAAGGGATAACTTGGTCAAACTCTGGTCAAACCACCGAAGTCAAACCTCCAAAGGCTCCTCTACCGCTGCACTAACTCCCTTCTTAACCGGCCTGGTCCCCTCCCCGGGCCTCCACTTCAACAGCCTGTCAC